ATTTATTACAGTTGTTACTGTCGCTAGCCGAAACCTCCCATTAATATGTTTCGTAGCTGTTCACTTCTTCACGGAAGGCAATTAATGAAACCCTAGCAATTCGCTCGCATTCTGTACTAAGGCATTCTTATTTTTTTAGATGTATGAAAACTGGTCTACTTGAAACAGTTTGCAAGGTTAATAAGCCTGCGATCCATAAAAAACAGCGTGGCACTGTAAAATTTTGATGGAAAGCTTGTGGGGATGATCGCATCCAAAAAGTCTTGATTCCGCAGTTATACCTGACTCTTACATAGTTTAATCCATGCAGCAATGCTGGAAGGTCACACCGAAGCATCTGTTTCGCAAAAAGTCGCTCCCTTACCTCCAGTGGCAGGACGAAATGAAGTATTTGTGTCCTTACTACTAACGGGCGAGTACTCCTCCGACCTCCACACTATTGTCCGTTGCCAACTGTAGCTGAGGCGTTTTCTTTAAGAAAGAAAACTTTCTGGTTCAAGTTCCTAGAAATACTGCTTTACAATCTTCACACTTCAATGGCCATGCGTGGAATTTTAATTTCCCAATGAACCAGGCGTTGAACACCCTTCAGCCACTTTAAAGCCACTGTCAACATTCCATTTGTTTACTGTTTAAATATTAAGGCCTAAGCCACGGGTTACTCCAGGAAAGTCCGTAAAGTGGATTCATCACGTCACAACTGGTCCTTACCACCCAAACCTTCAGGTTGGAAGACTGTCAGACAACTGGAAGGTCATTCCGCTTCCCTCAATCTTCCCGGTCAATTAATTCTAAATAATCATTTTAACTTCTACTCCAAAATTTTTGAAAAACCAAAGTATGTCGTTGGAAATAACATGGCACCGACTGATAAATACGCTTATATTTGACGATGCAATAAATGTAGACAATGGAAAAATTAGTTCACCATCATATTGCACTTTCATTCCTTCTACAATGAAAAGTGAACTTCTCGCGACACTTCATGACCAATCGCACAGCAGTCATCCTATCTGCACAAATCAGGTACACATAAGGCATGCTTAACTGATGTTATAAACCAAAAGTTTAAACCGAAAAATGAACACAAGGTTCGTGTCGACACCAAAATACTGCAAAAATCGATGTAAATGAAAAGCGCTAAATGAAAAGCGATTGTGAAATGCGACTTCTAACAAAAAAAAGCCCATTATTTTGGGAGCAACAAATTTACTTCTATAGATGATTTATTCTAAAGTTGAATGCCGCCTCCATTTCATTACATTTCATCCATTTAATAATAGAGCGCCGTCCCTGATAACCGATTCCATGAACCAAATAATAAATGACTTTACCAGAGCGGTGATCGTTACAAAAATTGTAGTTCCAATTTTATCACAGCACACAGATAAAGAACTGTTGTATCAGTTAAAGGCTAAAACGATGGTCATAAATCATACGGCGCGAAAACGAATGAGATGCGAATCACGTCTGGAAACTCACTCTGCTTTTGAAATGACGTTACACAACTAGAATACTCTCTTTGGTAACAAGTAAACCAATTCCTCCTCCTTTCGCACTTCCGCTCTGAAGCGTGAATGACACTCATTTTAAAACTAAGAAGAACCCACTAAACAAATAGATTAACCCACTCAATACATAATCACTATTCAACTGAGTCGATGAACACCTAAAAAAACTCGCATCAAAAGAAGAAAAACTGATTTTTAATTACTTACAAAAAAAATAATCGGATCAACAACAGATTCAATAAAAGTAATTAATGACAGACGAATATTTTATTCCAAATGAAGACACCAAATGATCCTTCAATGTAAATATTTCGTAAGACAGTCGGTCCATAAAAACAGACGTTTTATTTGCATCTCTTTGTTGTACAACCTTCTCAATACACAATTTTAACCATTAGATATCCTCTGATAAATTTCCAAGAAATCCAAAATCTTCTTTACCGTACAACTCTTCCTCCCCTATTCAAAAACAGCTGCTATAACGAATCACGCCAGCAACGACCTGAATAGATCTCCACAGACAGTACAACTATCGCCATCGACAGCAATTTTTTTTCATTTTCAGACCATATAAAAATACTTCCAGACGCTGTTCTCGAACCATGCAACGTTTAAATAAGACGAAAAAAATCAATGAAACTACAACCACTATTCATGCCTTGATACCGAACATCGATTTTGACGGAAAACGTTTTCAGAATCGCTATGTTATCACTAATAGTGTACATAAAAAGGAACTGCCGGTAGTTAACTGCATTATCACTGCAACAAAACTGACATTGAAATTACCCGGTTAGGTCAGCTCGTAAATCTCTTCTCATCTAATACACCTCGTTCTTTAAATTGTACTTGACCACGAATCAATAGTGCGAATACATTTCGCACAGATGTTCCCCTTCTTAACAACTTAGTGAAATTAAGACATTAGGCTTTTTTTGTCTACAAAACACAAATCCGTTCCCCTCCGAACTACCATATTTTCAGGATCCTATGACGTATTGCGTTTATGAGGAATAAATACTTCTCCGTTTGAGTTCTGCAGTTATTTCCTTACTGGGTACTTGCATAGTGAAAACACTGTAAAGACTAAAAATCACGATTTGACAAATGTGCTTACAACAAAAAATCCCTATCGACAAAGAACACTTCAATTAGCCAAAAGACCCAAACATCGGTAACGGTCTTTAATGACGATTTCCAAATAGCGAAAGTGCTAAGTTGATACTGAAAAGAAATAACAATGTAAGAAACACCTTCTTGACAAAGTAAGATCTGTAACGTCATTTACCTTCTGATTCGTATTTCCGATGACCTTTTTCTCCGACAAAAATATGCAACTCAAGGACAAAAACTCTGCAGAATTGCAAAACGCAGTTTTCTGTGCTGCCATAGCCATTACAAAAAGACCGTGAAAAAAAAAATAAAATGAGTTTTAGCACAGATGAAGTATC